CCAGCTCTTCAGAAGAGACGGACAGACTCTCTTTCCCTCACAGATGCTTTCTACATCCCTTTTTCATTAGCAACATTGTGAGAACATGCATCAAACTTCAAATCTGGATAATGCGTGTAAATTATTTGTACAAAGCTGTGTTGGATTTCATTACACCCAAAGCAAGCATGGCGGTTTGAGCTGGTCCGGGTCTGCTAATCGATACGCCACATGTTAGCATAGTCTCTCAGTGCTTTAGTGCAGATAACATTATCTTCACACACACTTAGTAATGAATTTTGCAATGGCAAATTGTTTTAACATTGAGTGGATGGAAATTAATTGTCTGTAATTATTTAGAGGCTGATAAAGAAAATCCCTAGCAAAACCAGGTCATGTCTTTTGAGTTATCTATATACAGTATCTGAGCTACAGACATTTTTTTCAGGTGAACATGAACTCAATTATGAAACTCTTTGCAACAGAATTTTTTTTTAAACAATATAATTTTTTTCTTTGCCATATAGGCTTTGATGAAATAGACATGTTTACTTATAAAATTGCACGAGAACATCATTTCAAATAAAAGCTGCAGTTTTGAACTTTCTACTACTTAAATATCACTGAAACATATCACAATTGATAATAAGCAGCAGAACTAAATTCAAAAATGCTAAGAATGTGAAATGTTTCTGAAGCTAAATATCACTATGAACAAGAAACTGAAGATATGAGTACTGATGAAGAAAATTTAGCTTTAAGGCCTGTGCAGACCAAGACATTTTTTGCTCATGTTTTCACGCACCTTGTCAAAACCTTCACCACCGATCGGAACGGCACTATTGTTCACGTGCGCGGAGCTGCTGAAGTTATAGTAAACAGCACTTGGAGGCGCTCAAGAGCAAAACTGTCAATGCAATCGCACATTGAAGAAGATGCCCAGAGACAATCTGAATGTTTAGCTGCTTATTGCTCTTGTAAACAATAATCATTTCTTCATAGCTAGAGCTGGAGCTGCTGCTTGAACAATCCATGCTTGTTCGAGTCACCAGTAACTTTAACAACAAGCATGTGAACTTCCTCTCCTCCTCTTTTTCTGTGTTATAAGAGAGTGTCAGAAGCTTTAAGATGTTTACCGCCATCTAATATCAAGGAGGGATTTTGCATACTCTTCTGCTTGACGCCAGTGAAAATCACTTGGGATTGATTACGGAAAAATGTCTCGTAAAACGCTGACGATAAACGCAAACAAAAAGCGCTATGGGCGATGTGGTGGCGCAGTGGGTGGCTCGCCTCACAGCAAGAAGGTGGCTGGTTTGAGCGTGTGTGTGGATGTTTCCCAGTGATGGGTTGCGGCTGGAAGGGCATCAGCTGCGTAAAACATATTCTGGATAAGTAGGTGGTTTATTCCGCTGTGGCAACCCTAGATTAATAAAGGGACAAAGTCAAAAAGAAAATGAATGAATGAATAAATAAAATTGCTATTTAATATTGAAACTATATTTTACAATTAACATATATACATTATTATTATTATTAATATTATTATTAAAATTATTAATATTATTATTATAACCTAATAAATTATTATTGTTAATATTATTTTTAATAATAATAATAATAATAATAATAATAATAATTAAAAGTGATAATAGCAATAACAATTGGTATTATTATTATTATTATTATTATTATTATTATTAGTAGTAGTAGTAGTAGTAGTAGTAGTAGGAGGAAGAGTATTAGTATTATTATTATAACTAATAAATTAGAATTAAAGAAGAAGAAGAAGAATATAATAACATAATAACAAATTATTATTATTTTTTTATTAATAATAATAATGATGATGATGATGATGATGATAATAATAATAATAATAATAACACAATAATAGCATAATAATAATAATAATAATAACAATAATAATAATAATATGAATAATAATTGAACATAATAATAACATTAACCAATTTTTATTGCTGTAACTATTGTTATTAATATTGTAATAACATAATAAGCTAATAACAAATTAATAATACTAATAATAATAATAATAATAATAATAATAATAATACATGTAGAAGATAAATAAAGGCCCTTACAGAAAAGTCACATGAATTTCACATGTGATCACATGTGACCACATGTGATCACATGTGACAACATGTGATCACACATGACCACATGTGAAGTTTATGTGACCACATGTGGACAACATGTGAAGTTCATGTGGCCACATGTGAAGTTTATGTGATCACACATGGCCACATGTAAAGTTTATGTGATCACACATGGCCACATGTGAAGTTTATGTGACCACAGGTGGACAACATGTGAAGTTCATGTGACCACATGTGAAGTTCGTGTGGCCATATTTGAAGTTCATGTTATCACATGTGAAGTTAATGTGACCACATGTGAAGCTCACGATTACATGTGTTCATGTGACCACATGTGAAGTTTATGTGACCACATGTGAAGCTCACGACCACATGTGTTCATGTGACCACATGTGAAGTTTATGTGACCACGTGGACAACATGTGAAATTCATGTGGCCACATGTGAAGTTCGTGTGGCCATATTTGAAGTTCATGTTACCACATGTGAAGTTAATGTGACCACATGTGAAGCTCACTATTACATGTGTTCATGTGACCACATGTGAAGTTTATGTGACCACATGTGAAGCTCACGACCACATGTGTTCATGTGACCACATGTGAAGTTTATGTGACCACGTGGACAACATGTGAAATTCATGTGGCCACATGTGGACAACATGTGAAGTTCATAGGGCCACATGTGATCACCTTTGACCACATCTGAAGTCAATGTGACCAAATGTGGACAACATGTAAAATTATGCTGTCCACATGTGGACAGCATGTGATCACATGAACCCACATGTGAAAAACATCATCATCTGAAAACCATATTTCATGATGACCAACACTATACCGTGAATAAGTGCAAAACTGCAGTATAACAGCATTATAAAGGAGGATAAATGAGGTAAAATTATGTGCAACTGCAAAATAATGAACTATAAAATTCTAATAAAATTACATCAACAACAGTACAATTTGCAGTATATTCATGTACAACTTTACTACACTTGTGCATTGTGCTGATATATAATCTAATATCCAATTTCCCAATGCTGTGGCAATGCTGTGCTGTACTTGCTACATTTTTTTGTACTTTTATTCAGGGATGTTTTGGAAACAAGTAACTTAAATAGAATTTGAAGAGTTTATTTGCAATGATAATTCTGTTTTAGTAATTTTTAAATATAAAGTTTTATGTTGTTTCTTGGGTTCAAAAAACATGATTTATAAAAAGTAAAAATGTAATGAGATTTAATATTGTGTACATGAGTACAATGGCAAAAAATAAATGGATTTCTGAATCAGTCTGTAGGGAATTGAGAGTTGACTTCAAAAGAGTCGATTCCTCGACCCTCAATGGACGTAGTGCCGGAGTCGACTCCAAGACAGGATTCGATTCCTAGAGTCGAGTCTTTTTTTTAACCCTTTTAAATGAAGCAGTTACAAGCTACAGTAACTTATAATACTCTTTCTCGAGCACGAAGAAGACAGAAGGCGCTCGCTTTAAATGCGTACTCACACATTTTGCGATTTTGCTTTTGAATTATGCGACCACGAGGCACTCTTACGCAACTGGGGTGAACTTGCGCGCGCGTTCATCACAGAAGAGCATTCGCGGCAACGCGCGCGTTGTCCTGACAACAAGGATTCACAAACAAACGCAGTTTCTTAACGGTCGTTTAGCAATCTTTTGTCCGTTTTGTCTCCTTATTTCGGTCGCGAAATGAAGATAAAATACGTGTTTGTTGATATATTAACTGTAAATGCCATTCACATATGAACACTAACGTACCACAGTTAAAATAAAAAGTCACGGTCAAAGGACAAAAGAGAGGGCTACGTTTTTTGGAGAAGCTGGACCATTTTGACCTTATCATCTTCAGCGGTATAATTCAGCGGTAAGTGCATATTCATATACTGTCCTCACAACTTTATAATTTAGGATGTGTAGAGAAACTTAACGTAACCTTAACAGTTGGTTCTGCAAGTACAACAACAAAAAAGAGAATATGTTCAGAATATTTGACCAAGCCAGTGATACCAGTCAAACGCGCGCCAAAAGATATCCGAGCTCATTCACTTGCTTAAAACACTGCAAATGTTGTAATTGATGCAACTGTATTAGTGATGTATTAATTTGTATTAATCCAGAATTCTCTTTTAAAACATTAACTAAAATTTAATTGAATAGGGTTTTATAAACCTGATCTAAATGACTATTGTGCTTGGTTTTAAATTGAAATGTCCTAAATGTAAATAATGGAATAGATACAATAATAGATATTAAGGTAAGCAGAAGCTACTTGTTTATTTTATGTATTTCATTTCAAAAGTACTTAATAACAGTTCTGTAGATCTGTCATTATTTTAAAGGCTTGTCCATCCTTTCCAGAAACATTGGTTTATATTTTGTTTAACTTATCTTTTTATTGAGATACACTAGCATTTAAAAGTTTTAGATGGTAAGATTATTTAAACAATATTGAAAGACGTGTGGCTGCATGTACTTTCTTTAAAATACACTAAAACCAATTTTTAAAATTGATTTATAATACGTTTCACAATGTAAAGTTAATTTCTAATTTATTGTAAAACTTCATTTATCCCTGTGATACAAAACTTTAATTCAATCTTCATTATTGCATGTTAACTTAATCTTACTTTTTATGAAGATTATAGCATACAGGATTAATATGTGTAAGATGTTAATGAACATAGATATGATATCATTTTTAGTTTTGTCTGACTCTCTTTCTTTCTCTCTCTCTCTCTCTCTCTCTCTCTCTCTCTTTCTCTCTCTCTACTTGTATTAATGAAGTTTTAAGATTAGATATTATAGACTAATATTGGTGTTACAAAAATCTGTCACAGTGGTTGATTGTTTCTCTTTGCTTTTTGTACAGAAATCAGTGATGTGCAGGGGTTTAAAAAGTACAGCTTGGGAAATATAAAGATGATGGTTATTTTAAAGAAGAAGCCTGACACATTGGAGACTTAACCATCTTCAAAGGACAATGCTACAATTCAAGGAAGTCGACAGTTGTCTCAATTATACAGTTTTGCCTTTTTTTTGTACCATAGTCTAAGTTTGTATTTTGATTGCCTAGAAGGTATTTCTTATTAAAGAAAAAAAAAAAAAAAAAAAAAAATATATATATATATATATATATATATATATATATATATATATATATATATATATATATATATATATATATATATATATATATTTATATATTATTAAAGCAAAATCTTTTACTAGCCACTAGTTGTACCTTCTTAGTCTACAGATTCCTTATAGGTACTTTGTTTTATAGCAGTTAACAGTCTGTGACTGCAGGGTGATTCAAAAAGAATAACACAACTTTGAAAATCTGTATTTAATCAAAGAAACATGATGACAACAGCTCTCCTAGCGACCTAATGAGTAACCAAATGAAACTTCAGAGCTTCCTTAAATCGACGACAGAAAGAGCTTAGCTCCCCTTTTCTTCTTTGCAGAGTTTTCGATTTTCAAATTTGTGGGATTCCTTTTGAATCACCCTGTATACAGTTTTTTCTGTTTTTAACATCTGATGTTTCCTGAGGTAATCGTTTACATCACTTTGGGAGAGGGAGTGAAAACGGGCAGTCAATCAGTGTCTGAAAAGAGAAAATACACCCAATACAGAGGCTAGTAAGGAGCACTTCCAGTGCACAAAGTTAATGTCTTAACAGGTAACTTTTATAGCGTTTGCTATCTCTAATGCGTAGAGATGGCAAATGTACATGCATCCTTTACTCAAGTGGAAGTACAGATACTCTGGTAAAAGTTGAACTACGGACTAGACTTTTCTACTCAAGTAAAAGTAAATAAGTACAGCCTGAAATATGTACTTAAGTAAAAAGTATTCATTACTAATATCTGTTTTAGTTTCATGGTGGTAACTACACCTCACAAAATGCATACATTTATACAAAATTACTTACATTTCAAATTTTTTTTTTTGTAAAAAAAGTTGTTGCCAATTTTTAGCTGCAAAGTAGCCAAGCAACATCATCCTACAGGGCTTGAAATTGCGACTGTTTTGGTCGCATATGCGCCCAAAGTTTTATCTTTGCGACCTCAATGTATTTGGCAGCATGTATGCGAGTGCATAAAATTGTTGTTTTCACAGAAAAATGTTCACCACATGCGCGGAATTAGGAGGCATTCACGCAAGCATCTTTACACCTAAAAACACCAAACGCAACACTAAAGAATAGTTTATAACAGTTAACACGTCAACTTGCTGCACTAAGCAAAGCCCGTCTTCAAGCTTTTTTTTATTGGCCAATTGCGCTAGAACAGAATGCGAATGGATTGGTTAATATCAGCTGTCAATCACTCATTTCCGATGACAGGGAGCTACAGCTGCAAAAATGCAAAGTTCTGGATAAGAGAGAATGAAAACAACACTGATAGATTTAGTTTTAGAAACCATCTACAGTTACAAATCATGGCACATCTGATTAGTCATTATGTGGAGAATGTCAATCCAGCATTTACACTTTTCGAAGAGTGGATAAAAGACATCTAGTGCTCAAAGTCCGCTATGAAAATGATTATAGCATTCACTGTAAAACTGGTGGGATGGAGTTTTTAGGTAACAGTGTTTGCCACTTAATCTACACATTTTAAGCACGAGATGTTCTAACGTAAAGTTTATTTGTTCTCCCTGTATTCGTGTGGGTTTCCTTCGGGTGCTCCGTTTTCCCCCACAGTCCAAAGATATGCAGTATAGGTGAATTGTGCAGGCTAAATTGTCCGTAGTGTATACGTGTGATTGGGTGTGTATGAATGTTTTCCAGAGATGGGTTGCAGCTGGAAGGGCATCTGCTGCGTAAAACAGATGCTGGATAAGTTGGCGACTCCGAATTAAAAAATGGACTAAGCCGGAAAAAAATGAATGAATGTTCAACCGTTATTTAATCCTTTATTTAATCATCACAATGCTGTTAATCGTGCGACTGATACCGCAGTCACCATCGCTAAAGAGCATGCATTCACTGAGATGAAACTAATATTGCAGTTCATGAAAAGACCGTTATATATTAGGGTGACGTATGCAAATAATAAGTTATATGTCAATAGCATCTGTGCAGTATCAGACACCACCCATAAGAACAGCACAGTTATTATAGTTAATTCAGTTCATCCCATTCACGTCAAGCAGTGCATGCAGGGCCAGTGAGCGCATGCAGATTTTTGTTTATTTGTTAGTTGTGATTAGAGTGGTAATATATATTGGAATCTGTTAACATAAAACGTTTAGTAACGGTGCTCATATTTGTCGGTGGGTGCGACTAAATTTTGTCTGGTGCACCCAAATTTTTGAAGTTAGGAGCACCGGTGCTACCAAGAAAAAAAGGTTAATTTCGAGCCCTGTGTATCATCAGCTGAACACAAAACACTATAGCTGTTAAGAACAGCAGCTGTCATACTTGTTTGTATACTCTTGAATATAATTCTGTAGGCCTATATATTTATAACTAATAAATGTCTTAAATTTAACACCTAATTTTTTTTCAAAACATATTTCAGTTTTTTTCTTTTGATAAAATAAAAAAACTAAATGTATTTGACTACATATTTTTTGCATTATACTAAAGCTACGTCTGCTCCACAAAGCACATTAAAGCGAAAGTAACGAGCCTGATTTAAAAATGTAAGGAGTAGATTTGTATTCAAATGTAAGAAGTAAAAGAAAAATATTTCAGAAAACGTTAACAGTGGAGTATAATACTGACACTAGACAAATCTACTTAAGTAAAGTAACAAAGTTTGTACTTCATTACTACCTATTTCTGCTAATGTGAAAAAATGTGATCTAAATACTATGAATTCATTTTGCATTCACGTGTATGCATTTGAGCATTTGGTAGTTTCTTTTATTAAAAATAAGTTTTGTATTTTTTTCTTACAGATTACAAGATCAAGTCATTAACATGAACCAAAAGGACAAACTCGTCAAAAGCAAAACTCACTTTCCCTTGGCTTTTCTTTCCCTTTTCATCACGGGTCATCACAGCAGAATGAACTAGCAATTACTGTGGTACATGCTTTTTTCACCAGATGCTCTCATATGCAGAATTGACCAGAGCACCCGAAGGAAACCCACGCAAACATGGGGTGAACATGCAAACTCCACACCTGGCACACCTGAGACTCGAACCAGTGACCTTCTTGCTTTGAGGCAACAGTGATGACCACGGAGCTACCATGTGGCCCCTTTTGTATTCACATTATATTAGTGACAGTTTTCCCCTCAAGGTATTTCAGTAAATAATTGTTGTGATTTTATATAATTGACAATAAATTGTTTGTATTTATATTTAAGTTTAAGAATAATTTTTGTTCACACTAATGCACAAATTTTATTGTGTGAAGTACACAAGAGAAAAGCCACAAGAGATTTTTACATGGGAACGCATGTTTCAATGCTCACCATCAAAATTCTAAATACAAACATTTTCCCATGTGATCACTTGTGAATGCACATGTAGTTCACATGTGAATTCACACAAAAACGTTAAAATTCACAGGTTTTCCCATGTGATCACATGTGGTTCACATGAAAATTCACACGAAATCGTTCCAAATACACACGTTTTCCCATGTGATCACATGTGGTTCACATGAAAATTCACACGAAATCGTTCCAAATACACACATTTTCCCATGTGATCACATGTGGTTCACATGAAAATTCACACGAAATCGTTCCAAATACACACGTTTTCCCATGTGATCACATGAGAATTCACACAAAAGCGTTCCAAATACACACGTTTTCCCATGTGATCACATGTGGTTCACATGAAAATTCACACGATATCGTTCCAAATACACACGTTTTCCCATGTGATCACATGTAAATTCACAAGAAAGCGTTCCAAATACACACGTTTTCCCATGTGATCACATGTAAATTCACACGAAAGCGTTCCAAATACACACGTTTTCCCATGTGATCACATGTGAATTCACACAAAGCGTTCCAAATACACACGTTTTCCCATGTGATCACATGTGAATTCACACGAAAGCGTTCCAAATACACACGTTTTCCCATGTGATCACATGTGAATTCACACGAAAGCGTTCCAAATACACACGTTTTCCCATGTGATCACATGTGGTTCACATGAAAATTCACACGAAATCGTTCCAAATACACACATTTTCCCATGTGATCACATGTGAATTCACACAAAAGCGTTCCAAATACACACGTTTTCCCATGTGATCACATGTGAATTCACACGAAAGCGTTCCAAATACACACGTTTCCCCATGTGATCACATGTGGTTCACATGAAAATTCACACGAAATCGTTCCAAATACACACGTTTTCCCATGTGATCACATGTGAATTCACACAAAAGCGTTCCAAATACACACGTTTTCCCATGTGATCACATGTGAATTCACACGAAAGCGTTCCAAATACACACGTTTTCCCATATGATCACATGTGGTTCACATGAAAATTCACACGAAATCGTTCCAAATACACACGTTTTCCCATGTGATCACATGTGAATTCACACAAAAGCGTTCCAAATACACACGTTTTCCCATGTGATCACATGTGGTTCACATGAAAATTCACACGAAAGCGTTCCAAATACACACGTTTTCCCATGTGATCACATGTGGTTCACATGAAAATTCACACGAAATCGTTCCAAATACACACGTTTTCCCATGTGATCACATGTGAATTCACACAAAAGCGTTCCAAATACACACGTTTTCCCATGTGATCACATGTGGTTCACATGAAAATTCACACGAAAGCGTTCCAAATACACGCGTTTTCCCATGTGATTCACATGAAAATTCACATGAAATCGTTCCAAATACACACATTTTCCCATGTGATCACATGTGGTTCACATGAATATTCACACAAAGTCGTTCCAAATACACACGTTTTCCCATGTGATCACATGTGAATTCACACAAAAGCGTTCCAAATACACACATTTTCCCATGTGATCACATGTGATCCCATGTGCATTTCACATGTGGTTTGTGTGTTTCACATGTAAAATTTCACATGTGCAATTTCACATGCACATGTGATCACATGTGAATTTCACATGTGAAACTCATGTGAAATTTCTGTAAGGGGGTGTGTGATCTATACGCCAGCATTAATCTCTCTGGACCAACAGGCCATTTTTATTTTACAGCTTTACTTTCTTTTTATTTGCATTTAAAGAGCAAGCCTGACTCCTGCCACATTAAATTACCTGTTGATCTTCTTGAGGTCAAAAACCAGCCTGAACTAGCTGCCAAACAGGCCCCTGTCACCATCCACCATCTCCCTAAACCAAATGTCACAGGCACGATGAGCTATTATTATCATAACAAATTCTAAAAACAACCATCAGAGAAGAAAACCTTATCCTTTGCGTGTTAGTTAGACTATTGACCCTGAGCATCTCCTCCGACGGGGTTCATCAGGCCCTTCCTCAAATTAAAATCGGCTGATGGCTTGTTTCATTTTCACAAGGTCATTGTGGTAAGTGAACTATAGGGAGCCTGTAAGAGGGAGATCTATTCAAGCTCATCTTCAGGATGGTAGCGAAAGGCCATCTCATCACGCTGTATGACACGCTGATTGATTTATAAAGCAAAGAAGGTGGATACTTGTAAGCCTGCTGGGGTGGAAGGTCTCTCTGGGCTCATTTAGCACTTAAAAGCATAATTAGAGAGAGAAAGAATGAGTGGGTTGGGGATCTGCTTCTTCGTATGCCTTTAAAAATTGGACAGCCGCTCTATGTACTAGTGTTGCCATAATGAGGGTTTTTCTCCTATTTTCTCCTATTTTCTCCTATTTTGCCTTTCACTCTAAATGTATTACATTTGTTTCAATTATATATATATATATATATATATATATATATATATATATATATATATATATATATATATATATATATATATATATATATTATCATCATTAGTAAATACAAATAGATATTCAGAAACCTACTGATTGTTTTCTTCTTGTTTATACACCTTACAAAACGCAGGGTTCATTATATATGTCCCAACACAAATCAATTAAGTTAACTGTATAGTGGATTGAACATAAAACAAGGAAGTTGTCCCAAAAGAATCTCAAGAATTGTGTTGTTTCAGCTCATTAAAAAAAAAAAAGAAAAAATAAATAAATTTAAACATGCAGCAAACTTTTTTTTTTTCTTTTTAATAAAAGCTTTACTTATTAACGTAGTTTTACTCCTGAGTTGCTTGTAGATGAAATAAAGGCTAAAAAAATATTACACTTGACACACAGGGCTGACAGAGATGTATTTAAAGTTTGTATTTTTTAAAGATGTATTTAAAGAAAACACAGGCAGAGATAAATATCACCCTCTGCATAAACATTTTTTTTTTTTTTTTTTCTGTGAACAGAGGAGACTCTGTGGTCATGCATGTCCAGTTGGATTTCATAAATTCATAACAATTATAATTTATAACTAATTAGCCACTTACAACAGATTTATTTTAAATCATCCTTTTTGGACGGCACAGTGGCTCAGTGGTTAGCATTGTCGCCTCACAGCAAAAAGGCCGCTGGTTTGAGTCCCAGCTGGGCCAGTTGGCATTTCTGTGAGGAGTTTGCATGTTCTCCCCATGTTCATGTGGGTTTCCCCCACAGTCCAAAAAAATGTGCTCAAGTGAAATGAATAAACTGATCTCTCTGTAGTGTATGAGTGTGTGTGAATGAGTTTATGGATGTTTCCCATTACTGGGTTGGGCTGGAAGGCTATCCGCTGCATCCCTTACAGAAAAGTCACATGAATTTCACATGTGATCACATGTGACCACATGTGATCACATGTGACAACATGTGATCACACATGACCACATGTGAAGTTTATGTGACCACATGTGGACAACATGTGAAGTTCATGTGGCCACATGTGAAGTTTATGTGATCACACATGGCCACATGTAAAGTTTATGTGATCACACATGGCCACATGTGAAGTTTATGTGACCACGTGGACAACATGTGAAATTCATGTGGCCACATGTGAAGTTCGTGTGGCCATATTTGAAGTTCATGTTACCACATGTGAAGTTAATGTGACCACATGTGAAGCTCACGATTACATGTGTTCATGTGACCACATGTGAAGTTTATGTGACCACATGTGAAGCTCACGACCACATGTGTTCATGTGATCACATGTGAAGTTTATGTGACCACGTGGACAACATGTGAAATTCATGTGGCCACATGTGGACAACGTGTGAAGTTCATAGGGTGATCACCTTTGACCACATCTGAAGTCAATGTGACCAAATGTGGACAACATGTAAAATTATGCTGTCCACATGTAGACAGCATGTGATCACATGAACCCACATGTGAAAAACATCATCATCTGAAAACCATATTTCATGATGACCAACACTTTACCGTGAATAAGTGCAAAACTGCAGTATAACAGCATTATAAAGGAGGATAAATGAGGTAAAATTATGTGCAACTGCAAAATAATGAACTATAAAATTCTAATAAAATTACATCAACAACAGTACAATTTGCAGTATATTCATGTACAACTTTACTACACTTGTGCATTGTGCTGATATATAATCTAATATCCAATTTCCCAATGCTGTGGCAATGCTGTGCTGTACTTGCTACATTTTTTTGTACTTTTATTCAGGGATGTTTTGGAAACAAGTAACTTAAATAGAATTTGAAGAGTTTATTTGCAATGATAATTCTGTTTTAGTAATTTTTAAATATAAAGTTTTATGTTGTTTCTTGGGTTCAAAAAACATGAATTATAAAAAGTAAAAATGTAATGAGATTTAATATTGTGTACAAGAGTACAATGGCAAAAAATAAATGGATTTCTGATTCAGTCTGTAGGGAATTGAGAGTTGACTTCAAAAGAGTCGATTCCTCGACCCTCAATGGACGTAGTGCCGGAGTCGACTCCAAGACAGGATTCGATTCCTAGAGTCGAGTCTTTTTTTTAACCCTTTTAAATGAAGCAGTTACAAGCTACAGTAACTTATACTATTTTTCTCGAGCACGAAGAAGACAGAAGGCGCTCGCTTTAAATGCGTACTCACACATTTTGCGATTTTGCTTTTGAATTATGCGACCACGAGGCACTCTTACGCAACTGGGGTGAACTTGCGCGCGCGTTCATCACAGAAGAGCATTCGCGGCAACGCGCGCGTTGTCCTGACAACAAGGATTCACAAACAAACGCAGTTTCTTAACGGTCGTTTAGCAATCTTTTGTCCGTTTTGTCTCCTTATTTCGGTCGCGAAATGAAGATAAAATACGTGTTTGTTGATATATTAACTGTAAATGCCATTCACATATGAACACTAACGTACCACAGTTAAAATAAAAAGTCACGGTCAAAGGACAAAAGAGAGGGCTACGTTTTTTGGAGAAGCTGGACCATTTTGACCTTATCATCTTCAGCGGTATAATTCAGCGGTAAGTGCATATTCATATACTGTCCTCACAACTTTATAATTTAGGATGTGTAGAGAAACTTAACGTAACCTTAACAGTTGGTTCTGCAAGTACAACAACAAAAAAGAGAATATGTTCAGAATATTTGACCAAGCCAGTGATACCAGTCAAACGCGCGCCAAAAGATATCCGAGCTCATTCACTTGCTTAAAACACTGCAAATGTTGTAATTGATGCAACTGTATTAGTGATGTATTAATTTGTATTAATCCAGAATGCTCTTTTAACACATTAACTAAAATTTAATTGAATAGGGTTTTATAAACCTGATCTAAATGACTATTGTGCTTGGTTTTAAATTGAAATGTCCTAAATGTAAATAATGGAATAGATACAATAATAGATATTAAGGTAAGCAGAAGCTACTTGTTTATTTTATGTATTTCATTTCAAAAGTACTTAATAACAGTTCTGTAGATCTGTCATTATTTTAAAGGCTTGTCCATCCTTTCCTGAAACATTGGTTTATATTTTGTTTAACTTATCTTTTTATTGAGATACACTAGCATTTAACGTTAAAAGTTTTAGATGGTAAGATTATTTAAACAATATTGAAAGACGTGTGGCTGCATGTACTTTATTTAAAATACACTAAAACCAATTTTTAAAATTGATTTATAATACGTTTCACAATGTAAAGTTAATTTCTAATTTATTGTAAAACTTCATTTATCCCTGTGATACAAAACTTTAATTCAATCTTCATTATTGCATGTTAACTTAATCTTACTTTTTATGAAGATTATAGCATACAGGATTAATATGTGTAAGATGTTAATGAACATAGATATGATATCATTTTTAGTTTTGTCTGACTCTCTTTCTTTCTCTCTCTCTCTCTCTCTCTCTTTTTCTCTCTCTCTACTTGTATTAATGAAGTTTTAAGATTAGATATTATAGACTAATGTTGGTGTTACAAAAATCTGTCACAGTGGTTGATTGTTTCTCTTTGCTTTTTGTACAGAAATCAATGATGTGCAGGGGTTTAAAAAGTACAGCTTGGGAAATATAAAGATGATGGTTATTTTAAAGAAGAAGCCTGACACATTGGAGACTTAACCATCTTCAAAGGACAATGCTACAATTCAAGGAAGTCGACAGTTGTCTCAATTATACAGTTTTGCCTTTTTTTGTACCATAGTCTAAGTTTGTATTTTGATTGCCTAGAAGGTATTTCTTATTAAAGAAAATATATATATATATATATATATATATATATATATATATATTTTTTTTTTTTTTTTTTCTTTTTTTATATATATATTATTAAAGCAAAATCTTTTACTAGCCACTAGTTGTACCTTCTTAGTCTACAGATTCCTTATAGGTACTTTGTTTTATAGCAGTTAACAGTCTGTGACTGCAGGGTGATTCAAAAAGAATAACACAACTTTGAAAATCTGTATTTAATCAAAGAAACATGATGACAACAGCTCTCCTAGCGACCTAATGAGTAACCAAATGAAACTTCAGAGCTTCCTTAAATCGACGACAGAAAGAGCTTAGCTCCCCTTTTCTTCTTTGCAGAGTTTTCGATTTTCAAATTTGTGGGATTCCTTTTGAATCACCCTGTATACAGTTTTTTCTGTTTTTAACATCTGATGTTTCCTGATAGGTAATCGTTTACATCACTTTGGGAGAGGGAGTGAAAACGGGCAGTCAATCAGTGTCTGAAAAGAGAAAATACACCCAATACAGAGGCTAGTAAGGAGCACTTCCAGTGCACAAAGTTAATGTCTTAACAGGTAACTTTTATAGCGTTTGCTATCTCTAATGCGTAGAGATGGCAAATGTACATGCATCCTTTACTCAAGTAGAAGTACAGATACTCTGGTAAAAGTTGAACTACGGACTAGACTTTTCTACTCAAGTAAAAGTAAATAAGTACAGCCTGAAATATGTACTTAAGTAAAAAGTATTCATTACTAATATCTGTTTTAGTTTCATGGTGGTAACTACACCTCACAAAATGCATACATTTATACAAAATTACTTACATTTCAATTTTTTTTTTTTGTAAAAAAAGTTGTTGCCAATTTTTAGCTGCAAAGTAGCCAAGCAACATCATCCTACAGGGCTTGAAATTGCGACTGTTTTGGTCGCATATGCGCCCAAAGTTTTATCTTTGCGACCTCAAAATGTATTTGGCAGCATTTATGCGAGTGCATAAAATTGTTGTTTTCACAGAAAAATGTTCACCACATGCGCGGAATTAGGAGGCATTCACGCAAGCATCTTTACACCTAAAAACACCAAACGCAGCACTAAAGAATAGTTTATAACAGTTAACACGTCAACTTGCTGCACTAAGCAAAGCCCGTCTTCAAGCTTTTTTTATTGGCCAATTGCGCTAGAACAGAATGCGAATGGATTGGTTAATATCAGCTGTCAATCACTCATTTCCGATGACAGGGAGCTACAGCTGCAAAAATGCAAAGGTCTGGATAAGAGAGAATGAAAACAACAGTGATAGATTTAGTTTTAGAAACCATCTACAGTTACAAATCATGGCACATCTGATTAGTCATTATGTGGAGAATGTCAATCCAGCATTTACACTTTTCGAAGAGTGGATAAAAGACATCTAGTGCTCAAAGTCCGCTATGAAAATGATTATAGCATTCACTGTAAAACTGGTGGGATGGAGTTTTTAGGTAACAGTGTTTGCCACTTAATCTACACATTTTAAGCACGAGATGTTCTAACGTGAAGTTTATTTGTTCTCCCTGTATTCGTGTGGGTTTCCTTCGGGTGCTCCGTTTTCCCCCACAGTCCAAAGATATGCAGTATAGGTGAATTGGGCAGGCTAAATTGTCCGTAGTGTATACGTGTGATTGGGTGTGTATGAATGTTTTCCAGAGATGGGTTGCAGCTGGAAGGGCATCTGCTGCGTAAAACAGATGCTGGATAAGTTGGCGACTCCGAATTAAAAAAGGGACTAAGCCGGAAAAAAATGAATGAATGTTCAACCGTTATTTAATCCTTTATTTAATCATCACAATGCTGTTAATCGTGCGACTGATACCGCAGTCACCATCGCTAAAGAGCATGCATTCACTGAGATGAAACTAATATTGCAGTTCATGAAAAGACCGTTATATATTAGGGTGACGTATGCAAATAATAAGTTATATGTCAATAGCATCTGTGCAGTATCAGACACCACCCATAAGAACAGCACAGTTATTATAGTTAATTCAGTTCATCTCATTCACGTCAAGCAGTGCATGCAGGGCCAGTGAGCGCATGCAGATTTTTGTTTATTTGTTAGTTGTGATTAGAGTGGTAATATATATTGGAATCTGTTAACATAAAACGTTTAGTAACGGTGCTCATATTTGTCAGTGGGTGCGACTAAATTTTGTCTGGTGCATCCAAATTTTTGAAGTTAGGAGCACCGGTGCTACCAAGAAAAAAAGGTTAATTTCGAGCCCTGTGTATCATCAGCTGAACACAAAACACTATAGCTGTTAAGAACAGCAGCTGTCATACTTGTTTGTATACTCTTGAATATAATTCTGTAGGCCTATATATTTATAACTAATAAATGTCTTAAATTTAAAACCTTTTTTTTCAAAACATATTTCAGTTTTTTTCTTTTGATAAAATAAAAAAACTAAATGTATTTGACTACATATTTTTTGCATTATACTAAAGCTACGTCTGCTCCACAAAGCACATTAAAGCGAAAGTAACGAGCCTGATTTAAAAATGTAAGGAGTAGATTTGTATTCAAATGTAAGAAGTAAAAGAAAAATATTTCAGAAAACGTTAACAGTGGAGTATAATACTGACACTAGACATATCTACTTAAGTAAAGTAACAAAGTTTGTACTTCATTACTACCTATTTCTGCTAATGTGAAAAAATGTGATCTAAATACTATGAATTCATTTTGCATTCACGTGTATGCATTTGAGCATTTGGTAGTTTCTTTTATTAAAAATAAGTTTTGTATTTTTTTCTTACAGATTACAAGATCAAGTCATTAACATGAACCAAAAGGACAAACTCGTCAAAAGCAAAACTCACTTTCCCTTGGCTTTTCTTTCCCTTTTCATCACGGGTCATCACAGCAGAATGAACTAGCAATTACTGTGGTACATGCTTTTTTCACCAGATGCTCTCATATGCAGAATTGACCAGAGCACCGGAAGGAAACCCACGCAAACATGGGGTGAACATGCAAACTCCACACCTGGCACACCTGAGACTCGAACCAGTGACCTTCTTGCTTTGAGGCAACAGTGATGACCACGGAGCTACCATGTGGCCCCTTTTGTATTCACATTATATTAGTGACAGTTTTCCCCTCAAGGTATTTCAGTAAATAATTGTTGTGATTTTATATAATTGACAATAAATTGTTTGTATTTATATTTAAGTTTAAGAATAATTTTTGTTCACACTAATGCACAAATTTTATTGTGTGAAGTACACAAGAGAAAAGCCACAAGAGATTTTTACATGGGAACGCATGTTTCAATGCTCACCATCAAAATTCTAAATACAAACATTTTTCCATGTGATCACTTGTGAATGCACATGTAGTTCACATGTGAATTCACACAAAAACGTTAAAATTCACAGGTTTTCCCATGTGATCACATGTGGTTCACATGAAAATTCACACGAAATCGTTCCAAATACACACGTTTTCCCATGTGATCACATGTGAATTCACACAAAAGCGTTCCAAATACACACGTTTTCCCATGTGATCACATGTGAATTCACACAAAAGCGTTCCAAATACACACGTTTTCCCATGTGATCACATGTGGTTCACATGAAAATTCACACGAAATCATTCCAAATACACACGTTTTCCCATGTGATCACATGTGAATTCACACAAAAGTGTTCCAAATACACACGTTTTCCCATGTGATCACATGTGAATTCACACAAAAGCGTTCCAAATACACACGTTTTCCCATGTGATCACATGTGGTTCACATGAAAATTCACACGAAATCATTCCAAATACACACGTTTTCCCATGTGATCACATGTGAATTCACACAAAAGTGTTCCAAATACACACGTTTTCCCATGTGATCACATGTGAATTCACACGAAATCATTCCAAATACACACGTTTTCCCATGTGATCACATGTGAATTCACACAAAAGTGTTCCAAATACACACGTTTTCCCATGTGATCACATGTGAATTCACACGAAATCGTTCCAAATACACACGTTTTCCCATGTGATCACATGTGGTTCACATGAAAATTCACACGAAATCGTTCCAAATACACACGTTTTCCCATGTGATCACATGTGGTTCACATGAAAAGTCACACGAAATCGTTCCAAATACACACGTTTTCCCATGTGATCACATGTGAATTCACAAGAAAGCGTTCCAAATACACACGTTTTCCCATGTGATCACATGTAAATTCACACGAAAGCGTTCCAAATACACACGTTTTCCCATGTGATCACATGTGAATTCACACGAAAGCGTTCCAAATACACACGTTTTCCCATGTGATCACATGTGAATTCACACGAAAGCGTTCCAAATACACACGTTTTCCCATGTGATCACATGTGAATTCACACGAAAGCGTTCCAAATACACACGTTTTCCCATGTGATCACATGTGAATTCACACGAAAGCGTTCCAAATACACACGTTTTCCCATGTGATCACATGTGAATTCACACGAAAGCGTTCCAAATACACACGTTTTCCCATGTGATCACATGTGAATTCACAAGAAAGCGTTCCAAATACACACGTTTTCCCATGTGATCACATGTGGTTCACATGAAAATTCACACGAAATCGTTCCAAATACACACGTTTTCCCATGTGATCACATGTGAATTCACACAAAAGCGTTCCAAATACACACGTTTTCCCATGTGATCACATGTGAATTCACACGAAAGCGTTTCAAATACACACGTTTTCCCATGTGATCACATGTGGTTCACATGAAAATTCACACGAAAGCGTTCCAAATACACGCGTTTTCCCATGTGATCACATGTGGTTCACATGAAAATTCACACGAAATCGTTCCAAATACACACGTTTTCCCATGTGATCACATGTGAATTCACACAAAAGCGTTCCAAATACACACGTTTTCCCATGTGATCACATGTGGTTCACATGAAAATTCACACGAAAGCGTTCCAAATACACGCGTTTTCCCATGTGATTCACATGAAAATTCACATGAAATCGTTCCAAATACACACGTTTTCCCATGTGATCACATGTGGTTCACATGAATATTCACACAAAGTCGTTCCAAATACACACGTTTTCCCATGTGATCACATGTGAATTCACACAAAAGCGTTCCATATACACACATTTTCCCATGTGATCACATGTGATCCCATGTGCATTTCACATGTGGTTTGTGTGTTTCACATGTAAAATTTCACATGTGCAATTTCACATGCACATGTAATCACATGTGAATTTCACATGTGAAACTCATGTGAAATTTCTGTAAGGGATAGAACATATGCTGGAATAGTTGGCGATTCATTCCACTGTGCCGACCACTGAAATTGAGACTAAGCTGATGGAAAATGAATGCATGAATGATCTTTTCTGCAGAAATACACTCCTCACTGCAAAAGAAAGGTTACTTTTGGATCCCTTATTTTTAAGTGTGTTGAGTGTTATTGCTGACAAACAATTGTATGTAAGACTACCTAAATCTTTGACTAAAAGTAAATTAATTAAAATCTAATTGTGCAAATAAATAAAACACAAAGATTAAGTAAATTTCAGTCTTTATGAGAGATATAATAAACATAATTATAACAATTTCAAACTCAAATGATTAATCAAGGAATGAAACAAACGTTTATGAGTAACTGAATCATTAACTTAACCAACTTAAAACCTGACTCAATCAGAAACACTATTTCTGCGTGTTGCATGGAGAAACAATAAGGTGACTTTATTTGACAATAAATTATTTAATAAATGAAAGTTGTGCTATTTCACCTTCTGATGTGTTTAGTATTGTACACTCTTAAATTTAAATTATATGATGGTTAACATTTAACTTAATGGCTGAGCTTAACCCAGTTTTGTCTTGTATTAACCCTGCATTATTTAGAGTACAAAAACTCCTGACTTTAGGTAAAAATCTATGATGTTTACCATAGAGTCGACAGCCAAGGTCCATTTCTGAAATGAATTGTTTATGGAACATGGCTCTCAGAGATTAAAAAATACACTCAAAAAAAAAAAAAATCATTCACTTGTGACCTGGTGTGAACTTAACATACCTCTTGATCCCGAAACACGGTTTACTTTCATGCTTCAGCTCAAAGTTTGAGCACAGCTCGATAATAAACGATGGGTGCAAAACCATGCTGCGTAAAATCATTGTAAATAACTCTGTGTGTATAGGATTGAAAAGGTCAATAGTAATATTTGACAACAGTGGCTTGTAATACAAAAGTCTATAGAGACGTTAGTGTAGGGCAACATTTATGTCACACAAATAGAACCAGCTATTGCCATTATAACTTCACGCCATTGTTTTGTCAAACTCTCTAAGCTGACCGTTTGTGTGTGTCCGTGTGTGTGTGTGCGTGTGTGTTTTAGTGTGGTTTGCTGCTACTCTCTAAAAGAAATACAATTCTTTCATTTAGCACCCTACAAGACAATTGAGATGGGAGAAAAGTAAAGCTTCTAAATAAAAGTCCCTAAAAAGACAGCTTTGCTTCTAATAAAGTAATAGAAAAGCTAATGTATTTGCTTCATTAGTCCTGCCATAATTACAAAAACAACAGAAAGCAGTGCGTTTTATTGTTTTCTCAATAGTCACGGAGCTAATTTAACAAACAGCATTCATATAACAGCAAAATGAGAGGCTATTCAATCACATTGTGTTAAACACAAACACACACACACACACACACACACACACACACACACACACACACACACTAAAGTTAATATTCTTCAATTCACCTATTCCCATCTGTGGGAGAGTTTTCCCCCCTGAAGCGGGAAAACATCATGTTTAACAGCATGTTTACGAGGTAAGAAAGTCATTGTGCGTAACTGAGGGTCATTAAGACAAGCGCTTCATTGTCACTGAGGACTAAAGATCGTTGTGTGGCATCAGATTACTTTGCCTGTTGTCTTCAGTGATCTAAACCTGATCATAAGGGTAAACTGGGATAAGTGAAGGACAGAATACTGACCAATTCACCACCACAGGACACTTTTAATAAACGACCATTAAACATGCTAAGCAAAAATGGAGGGAAATGAAAGGCAGCAAACGTAAGTGGTTTACACAGCAGGATTAATTCATTAAGCGGATGACTGTACAGAAGGGGTAAATATATATATTTCTATTAGCAAGCTAGAGCTGTGCGTAATTCACCCTCACTAATAGGAAAACGAACGTTGCTTCCATTACAGACGTAGACATAAACCAACCAGTCAAGCTGTGTCGATTCGAGCTGTGTTTCAACATTTACTGCCTTTTAGATGGGTAGAATGATGTTTGTAAGCAGATGCAATGCTTGTTTCACATGGCGCATAAGTGGCGCATATTTATTTGGGTGCCGCTATTAACACTACCCCCTTAACAGTGCACTACAGCATAAAACAACAATAAAAGAGGTTAGGTTTGATGAAATAATTGTTCTTCATTCTTGCTTTTTCAAAATCATATATTGATTAATTGCACAGCCAAAGTATTATGTACATAAATGAATAAAAACAACAGTAAAAACAACATTTACAGACTGGATTTTCAATAATGCAGAAAACCACCAAAAAAGGTTGTGAGGCTTGTCAAAGTACTTGGCAGTAGCTTCCTTTTCGAAGCAATCAAACCTTTTAAATCATGGACAATTGCACTTTTGGCTGCAGAATGTTTCTCTGATTAACTGCTCAATCTGTCTTGTAAGAAACTCTATGGTGTGACTAATGAAAAGCAGCTTTGCATCTCAACTCTGTGAACTCTCAAAAGTGTGTGACGATAATGTGCTCAATCTCTGGCTTTCCATATCCCTGAAGGACTGGTTAATTTAACAGTGTGCCGTTATGACAAAATGGGGCCATTGGACCTGATTCATCGTGTCCATAACCGGTATAGTTGGAAGCTAGGGACAGGACGGATTTGAAATGTTTCCTTTTCAAACATAAAAACGCATCACTTATTCATTACAGAGATAATTTATCCCACCTGAAGGAGCAGATAGAAGTTAAACTGTCACATGCAAGAAAAGAGAACAACCTCCACGTTTACAACCTACCATAGTAAAATACAGCCGCATAAAAGTCCAACAAGACCTGAATCCCAGCGGGTCAGAGAGGTGCATCTCTAATTAGTCTGTCTCAGACTGCTGGAAAAGTGTAAAGC